AGGTGTATCTTGAATGGCAGTGTGAATTTCTTTGGAAAACCCTGCTTTTCTGTAATTTTGGATCCTTTGTACTTGCGCGTTTTTTCTTCTCTTTTTCTAAACGTAATTCGCAGTTAGATTTTCAGTGAGATGTTTTGGAGCAGATGTGTGATGTTCTTGTGTCTGCAGACAGCACAGTCCTGCCTCTGCGGGAGGGGAATCTCGTCATCTCCTGGCCGTGGGTGGAACTGCAGTGTGTCCTTTGCCTGAGTGACTCGTGTGTTGTGCTAAGCGAACTGTTCAGGCTGCTCTGTTTGCTGCAGGAGGAAAGCTCCAGGAAGAGGAGGTTGCCTGTTGTAAGTTCGGTAGTCAAAGTGAAGAAGTTCTGTAATGATGGGGAAGATGAGGAGGAAGAGGAAGACTACGGATCCCGAACAGGAAGCATCTCCAGCAGTGTGTCTGTTCCTGCAAAGCCAGAAAGAAGGTACTTAAGATCTCAGTCATTCTCCGTGGTTTCAAGAATTCATTTAATGAATGAAAACTTTGAAAGCAGAACTGGGGGAAAACCGTTTGCACTTTTGAAAATTGGCAGACAAAATTCAGTAGTCATTTAAATATTTTTATACCATTTTTTCACAACTCTGGGCAAGATGCCTGCTGATGCCACCCTTTTGCCTCTGATCTTGTAACCCGTTTTTATTGTTGCACAAAAGCTTTAATGGAATGTGGAATTTTACAAGACAAGTTTACTGGCAAAAGAACAATGTTGGCATGCTTCAGACCAGGTGTTTAATGTGGCAAAATAATTTTTCTGGAGTTTTAATTGCTTTGTTTTTTGTTTCAGAAATACTTTTCAAACCATTTATCACTTGTTCTTTAAGGTAATTTTAACTTTTCAAACAGACTTGAGAGGTTTTTCCTCTTTTTCTGCTACTTAATTCTGTCTGAATGTCAAGTGTCAGTCAGAGTACATCAGTCATTTGTATCTGATTTTCATCAATAGAGGAAGAACATTGGAACTAGAGAAGAGATGGTTCTACTGACCTACAGTGCCAGTTTGTGTAACATTTGGTTTAAGCTAATACACTACTGAATTTATCTTCAGCATCAGAGCACATTTCTCTGATTTCAACTTCCTTATTGTTGATGTTAAAGACAAGTAGAAAGCTTTTACTTTTACAGCTGACATGTTTTTGATAGAGTCAGTTTTCAGCTGGATCCTACTGCCCTGGACAGCTGCATAATTCTTTGTGCCACACAGATGTAGCAGCAGATAGGTGAGGGGCAGAGGTGGGAGGAAATAGATGGCAGAGTGTGCCTTTCACATGCAGCATGGTTTTACAGCAGCTTAAGCTGAGATGTGAAGTCACACTTCTGCGCTTCCATTTTTGAGAGCATTTTGTGGATCCCCATCCACTCAGGGAATAGATTACAAATTTGGATGAAGTGATTTTAAATGCTGATTTCTGTTGGTATTATGTCTAACTGTGTTAATCTGTTGAAATATGTCTTTAGCATGGATACAGCTGCTGTGCAATTCATGTACAATTAATTATTTTTTTATCCCCTCTAGGCCTTCATTGCCACCTTCAAAACAGGCCAATAAGAATTTGATACTGAAAGCAATCTCTGAAGCACAGGAATCAGTTACAAAAACAACCAATTATTCCTCCGGTAATTAACATTATTTTTGTTTGTGCTAAGCTATAATATTTCCAAGCTCTGTGGTATAAATCCAAGCTAAAGACAGTGCTTAGAGATAAGACAGAATGCTAAATAGTGCATGTTAGTGATACAGGTGAGGGATTTACCCTGTCCTGTGAACATGACATTGATCTTCAGTGATGAATTACGGAAGCATAAACAAGAGAGGAAAGAGTTATTTAAAATACATTAATCAAGAGGTACAAAATGGAAGTGTCAGAGTATCCTGAGGCTGATGGTTACCAAGGGGGAAAGTAATCTGAATTAGGCAGCTTGTTTGAGCTATTTGCTTGATCTTTTTTTCCTTTCTGCACTCCCTTCCTTCTGAGAGGAGAGGAAAAAAAAACCAAACAGCAAAAAAATCAAAATGCACTGGATATAGGTAATGGAAGTGCAAAATAACGAGCAGCATAGTGATTGACATGTATCAGAGTATATTGTCCTGTAACAGCAAAGCTGCAGTTTCAGTTCAGTGATTTTAGGTATTGAGTTGCAGCTGACACAGCAGCTGAGCTGCTCTCTGTGTGTAGGCATTCAGTTATCCTGCTGAGGAGAGACTTCTGCTGAAGAAGGACTAATCCAGCTGTTGTCTCATGTTTTTCATTTCTTTGGGTGTCAGTAAATCTAGTGCTGTCAAGCATTGCACCAGGGAAGGAGCATTCACTAAACTACCTAAACCATGAGTTTTATACCATTTGGAGTAAGAGCTATGCACTATCTTTTGCCTGTTCTCTCTTAAATTCTGCAAACTAACTGTCAGAAACAGTACCTTGAGGTGATGCAGGAAACTCTTTCTGTGTACATAGGAATATGGCAGGAAATGGGGCATGGCAAGAAAATTCTAAATGGATTAGGAGCATTCACTAAACTACCTAAACCATGAGTTTTATACCATTTGGAGTAAGAGCTATGCACTATCTTTTGCCTGTTCTCTCTTAAATTCTGCAAACTAACTGTCAGAAACAGTACCTTGAGGTGATGCAGGAAACTCTTTCTGTGTACATAGGAATATGGCAGGAAATGGGGCATGGCAAGAAAATTCTAAATGGATTAAAACTATTGATTTATAATAGTGGTGATCTTGCAGTTTGACTTACCCACATGAGAATATTTCAGTGGAGAGACCAGAAAGCAGCACTTAGTCATTTAACACAGAGATGATGTGTGAATTTTATCTGAAGCATCATGCAGGTTCTTCCAGTTCAGAAGTAGTATTTCCTGTAATTTTTTAAGTATTTTGAATGGAATGTGGAAATAAGCTAATTTGGAACACGTAGGTAAAACAAAACGGGACATTGATAAGTAATGAATCCAGTACTGAGCAGTACCTTTCAGTTGTCTGTGTCAGAAGTTGAGTGCTGCTCTGATACTCAGCCAAGGGATATACAAGGTTTTCACAGCTGGTTCTGACAGTCTTAGCAGCAGCCAAGTACAGAAGTCAACCTGCTGTCCTGCTACCCCCAAACTCCATGCTACAGCTACCTGAAAGGTTGTAGTGAGGCGGGGGCTGATCTCTTTCCCAAGTAACAGGACAGGGGGAAATGGCCTCAGGTTGTGCCAGGGGAGGGTTAGATGGGACATTAGGAAAAAGTTCTTCATGGGAAGAGTGGTCAGGCAGTGGAACAGGCTGCCCTGGGAAGTGGTAGATGTGGCACTTAGGGACATGGTGCAGTGGTGAGCTGGGTCTGCAGTTGGACTCGGTGGTGTTAAGGATCTTTTCCAGCCTAAATGATTCTATGATTCACTGTCATTAAGTTCTGTATTCTGTTTGCAAGCACCTTAGCATGGCTGGCATCATATGGAGAGACACATTGATAATCAGTGATTGTTTATATGAAAGGTGGACTGAGAACCTAATTAAAAGAGAACCTAATTGGTATGTTAGCTAATATGGCAAAGATTCCAGAAGTAATTTCAAATCTGTTAGAAAGTACAAAATTAATTATATGTAGAAGCAGATGAGTGAAAACTTTGCTGGTGTCATTCTAATCCTTCTCATGTTGTTTTGTCTTACAAGTAGGTGTTCTGAGGTGCCACTCACAGGGTGCTCTGTGCTCATGCACGAATGTGTTTGCATACTAAGAATTTTACAGGTAGTTAAAGATGCTTTTTCTGGAGACAGATGCTTGGGATTTCTTGCGTGTGTGTTTGTAGGAATTTATTAGAGTTATTTTAGCACCATATGTAAAAATAGTACTGTTGTGTGATTGGGTAGTATGTAAATGATTTGCCATTGTTTCTTTATTTAAAGTTCCACAGAAACAAACTGTTCCAGTTGCACCAAGAACTCGAATTAGCCCAGAAGAGTCTCAGTTAGAAGTAATTCATGTGCAAAACAGACTGCCTGTTCTGAGTTCTCAGCTTGAAGTAGAAGAGCCAAAGGAGCAGACAGATGAAGGAATTCAAGGTCATCTGATAATATTCTTTAAAAATTTGTACCAGGGAATGTCATTTTACAGCAGCTGAGCAGAGAAAAGAAATGCTTTTAATTTTTAAGTCTGCATCAGAAGTTGAACTCCCTGAAAATGAAGCAGCTCTCTAAAGCATGGCTGTCAGATAGATACACACACAGATAACCTCAGGAATGAATCAGTAAGCAAAGGATGGTGTAGCGTTCTGGCACATCACTGTACAATAGTTTTGCAAAAGCATTTATGTTGGGATAACTTTCTCTTTGCTTATTTTCCTTAGTATCATGTAGGAGTGATTTTAGCACAAAGGTCATGTGTGAGTTAAGATACCCTACAGTATTTTTAATAATTGTGCAGCATATGAAGTATTAAAAGATTCTTTCCAGCACATGGTTTCCAACAAATGGTTCTTATGTTTTGTTTTTTAGTTTAAATATTGGAGTTCTGTATCTGCTTTTACAGGACAGCTCATACCAGGCTGTGCCAGCTTTGGTTTTTATTTCTGTTATGAAACCCCTGAAGGAAAATAGCATAACATTTTAAAGGCAATCAAAGTGTCTTCTCAGCATGGTTGTGTTACAAAGGAAGGTGTGTGTGTTTGTGTTAGTCACAAGGAATCATAGAAGTAAGGCCATGGAAAAAACATGTGTTAAGAAGTTAGTTTATTCTTGTTAATTGTTTAGGTATTTAGATTGTTGAGTAAAAGTTCATTTGAGTAAGATTTCTGTCACATCATCTCACAGTCATTGTTGAGGAATAGCAAACATTCGTCACTAAGAGAAAAAACATTTCTTCAGTCTCCTATTTCTCATACAGATGTATCTGGAATCTTTCTGCCAATATAAAATAGTTGAAATTATATCTGTAATATATGTAAGAATCAGCTTTATCAGCCTTTGAGTTAATGTATAGAAAATATTTGTGCTAAGAATTTTTGCTCTTTTGCTGTTGAAATGGAAATGGGAGCTTGCTTAGGAAGCCTGCAGAGAGCAAAAAGTTGTTCAGATCATAACTCAGCTGTAGAGCTGTGCTGTTCTGATTTGTTTCACCTCTTTTAAGACAACCATGAAGTAATCCCTTGCTGTTAGTTGCATTCCTCTGTGTGTGTTCTTGGAATACTCAGCTCCTCTGCAATGAGGAGAAGGAACTTGGCCCTCCTAAGCTGCTGTGCCCAAAGGTGTGAGCTGTGATTATGGAGAAGGGTAGCACCTTCCAGTATTTGGATTTTGCCATGTTACTGTTCGTGAAACAATTAGAAGGGAGTTCATAGCAATGAGAGTGGCTTTTGGGTTTTTGTTGTTAGAAGTGTGGAGGTTTTAGTCGTTGATTTTTATTTTTTTTTAATCCAAAGAATTAGAGAGTATGCCTCAGTTCTCTAATCTATAGTTTCCTGTTGACATGCAGTAAAATATGCTTCTAATTTCTGTTCTTTTAGGAGTTGAACAAAAGGAACTCTCTTCTCGGCTCCAGATGGATCCTACGATTGAAGATACCTTGCAAGTGACACAAGGTTAAGTCTTGTGATCTTTCATTTTCAAATCTAATATTGCTGGCCAGGGAATGTTAAGATATAACTTCCTTTTCCATGAATTATACTGATTTCTAGGATTTTCTAGTTTCTGCATCTCTAAGGAATGAAAGCATTACATCAGTAGGTGTTCAGAGCATGAGAGATTCTGGGGGTGTGTGCTCTGCCTTCGGTGCTGTTTCAGCACAGCCATTCCAGTAATAGAATTTCCTGGTCTGGCCTAATATTGCCTATGGCTCCTATTGATTCACCTCTGTGGAATTACCAAGGAAGTAAAAATACTTTCTGGAAGCTGTAAGAATTTAAAAGAAGTAAGGCTGTAAGAAAATAAAACAAAATTGGCTTATTTGCTATGCAGATTGATGTGTAAAATGTTCTGTAAGTTAGGACTACAGCTACAACCTTATTTTTCTGTTTTCTGTATAATTTTTCTCCCAATTCAGATTACTGTGATGCAGAATCTATGGTCCACTCGGATACTAGGTCGTTTATCCTGAAGAAGCCCAAGTTGTCTGAGGAGATAGCCCCACAGAATCAGCAGTTGGGAAGGAAGGGCACAGAGGCAGTGCGAGTACACTCGGGACGTCTAATACAGACACGGTAAAAACTCACTCCATTTGGGGCTGCTGTTAGTCAAAATGCTCTTTGTGGTTTAGGTGGAGTCATTCGGCCATAATTGTGCTTTGTCAGTCCAGTCAGGAGCTGTGAAATCATTAAAAATGGACTCACATTGAACAGCAGAGGAAAAAAAAGCAGGGGAAAAAACCCTCCCAGAAATCCTTCTAAATGAAAAGCAATCCTAGGGTCAACTGTCGCTTGAGCATGTCCTTGATTTGCAGGAAAGAAGGAACTGAACAGTACTGCTTTTTCATCATAGCTGTTCTGATTTCTGAAATCTGAGTTAAGTAATCGTTTTGCTCAAATTGCCTTTAGTTTTATATCAGTTTCACCCTGGAATTTCATTTCTTAAACAACTTCTAACACGGTATTGAGTATGGTCAATCCTGGACAATTATTTACAGCTCCTTATTGGGGAGTTTGACCAAGAGGAGTTTAAAGTTCATATAAGCTTCGGGCAAAGTTCCTAGTAACAAATAGTCTCTACCTGTTAAGAGTTAAAACCACTCAGAACAACGTGATGTACTTCATCAGTGTGGGCTGCTCTGTGTTTGAGAAACTGTTGATGCTTCCGTTCCATGAGAGGCTTTAAACATCCTGTGTTAATTAAAAATAAAACCAACTGTGAGCAAACAAACCCGAAAGGATAACCAGGAAATGTCACAGTTGAAAACCATGACTGCGCTACAGGAGAGTGGGAAATCTCCTTCCTTTATTTAACTGAGTTTTTAAGTGAGCTCTTGGATCTGTATATTGAGCAGAATGCAGCAGAGTGAACTGTAGCTGCCAAATTCTCTGCTGTTTGCTGGTGAGAGGAAGTGCCTCAGGGAGAGTAGAAGGCGAAGTGTTAACTGAAGTGCGTTATCAGTGGCATTAAAAGGTCTGTTACTGCTTGACTCCCCATAGATAAACTTGTGCCACTCTTAGTTACTAGCACAGCTCACATCCACTCAAACCTCTGGAGTCAGAAAAGCTAAATTTCCTACGTTTCTGTGTTTGCTAGAGACCAACTTGCACAGCCAGAGAAACCTGCTAGTCCCAAGTTCATCGTGACGCTGGACGGCGTGCCCAGTCCGCCAGGATACCTCTCTGATCAGGAAGAGGAAGATATGTGTGTAATGGAAGGATTAAAGCCTGTTGCCCAAAACATGTGTGCCAGCACAGGATTAAAAGGCCTTCAAGCACAGCAGATGCAAATTGTAACGAGGCAGCTAGACAACTGTGATGGTAATTATGCTACCAACAGGTTCTGACATTGGTGTGGTGGTTTGGTTGTGGCTAGAACTCTTGGGTATATCATTCTTAAGAAACCAAAGTATGGTGCTTGTTCTTCAAATTAGAACATTCTTTGGGTGAATGAAATGTGGTAGTTCAGTGGGACCATCTCCAGAAGCCCTTACCTTGATAAACTAAAGCAATATGGCACACAGGGAGTTCTCCACACAGCTCAGGATTTAAATTTAGGCTTTTTCTTTTGCAAACATGGTTTGTCTTCATTGCTAGAAATCTGCACTTCTGGTTGACCCATTATGATGGGCAGGAGATGTTACAATGAATGTTTTGCCATGCCTTGAACTTTTTTATAAAGATGTGAGATGGTGTCAATGTTTCTGTCTAGATTTGTGACATGAGGAGCCTGTTAAGCATAAGGTGTTGGTAGAACCCAGTGGCTAGAATCTTTGAAAGTAGAACTTAGTGCATGATTTTACTTGAAGGTTTCTATATTCTGTTTCTAGATTTCTCTTGAAATTGTTGAAATTTCTGTGGGAAATTGCTTGCTGAAGCACATGTTTGGAGTTTTCAGAATGCTGACACAGTGATGAAAAACAGAGGCTGCAGTTCTGTCATAGGCCTGTTGAACACTTGTCTGAAGGCCATGCTTGGATTCATGGGTTTTTACTTAGCTTTCTTACGACAATAAAGATCTTTATTTTTCCATAGTGGCAGTGTATCCAGATTTTCTGAACTAAATAAAGAACAGGATTTGATGCAGTTCTGAGAACCCTTATATTTCACGGGTCCAGCTGTAAATGTGTAATGCAATTGTAAGTGAACCACAGTGAGAGGTCTGTTAAGCCCATGTCCTTTCAGTCCCCCTGAGAGGCTGCAGAAGTCCTACACGTGTCAGGCAGTCTTACAGAAGGGAGCAATGTTGTATATCCATTGGCACATTTTTACTAGTGCAGTGGAACAGACATTGTAGTACTTCCTTTCCAATCCATGCTTTTACAAATGCAGTCTCTTTCATACTCCTGACTGAAACTGTTTGGCACAGGAGTGCATTGCCATGTAGTCCTCTCTCTCTTAAGGATTCCCCTGTGAGGAGCAGGGATGTGGCTGAGGTTCACACAGAACCAGATCTGTGTGGAAGTGATCAGTACAAGCAGTGTGGGTGTACAGCAGGATGGCATTGTTTGGCTTTGGTGCATTGAAAGGAGAACACATAAATGAAGCTGAGGACAGAATGAAGCTGGAGCAAGTGTGTCACTCGTGAGATCAGAGAGGGAGGTCTGGTAGTCCTGGAAAGCTTTGAAAAACCAAAGGTTTAGGCAGATCTGGGAAAATCAGACAGCAGGGATTGTCTGAATGTGCAGAATTTTTACAGGTAATGTCAAATAGGAGACCCATAACAGTAGTGAAGTATGGAATGTTTCAGCTTGGAATTTCTTAAAATACTTTTTGGATTGGAGTCTGTTTTCAGGTAACTGAAGTGTCTGAGCAAATTACATGGAAGTGGCTCATTTCCAGTAAGTGCCCCCATACTAATACAGCTGATTAGTGTAAAAATTGATTTTTAACTTTTCTCTCTTGGAATAGTTTTCTAAAGCAAAGAATACGTTGGAGAAAGGAAGCACAGCTGTAATGAGCACATGGCTCAGCAGAACAGTCATGACTCAGGTTCAGTTAGAAGGGGCATTGTCTTGTCTGATCAAGTCTGACTCAGTTTGGATTTGTGAAGAAAATGAATTTATTTTGCTTGCAAACAGTGCAAATTTGACCTTTTTTCATCAAAAGGCGGCTGTCAGTCCAATATTATGACTTCTTTCACTTGGTAGTTTTGGAAATTTTCTTCAGATAATATGATTCTGGTACAGAAACTCTTACTGTAATGACTTTTTTTGGATTAAGACAGAGAATAGGAAATACTGTGAATTTTGACTATGCTGTATAGTGTCCACCAAATTGCATATAGACTCATAAAGGTTCCAGCTTGAGGATTTTTTTTTCTATTTTTCCTGCCATCCTAGTGGACATGGAAGAGTTAAATATGCTGCAAAAACAGGAGAAGGTGCTGGAGCGCTGCAAGTACTGGCCGGCCTGTAAAAACGGAGACGAGTGTGTGTACCATCACCCCACCCTGCCTTGCAAGTGAGTAGTGTGAAGCTCATCCCCTCACTTGCTGTTTCGAGTGCTACAAATTTCCATTCTGTCCGTTAGTTCCAAGGCAGTGCAAGTTTTTCAGGGTGGGATCAGAGCTAGGTCGTCACACTGTAGTTGTTTGTTTTCTGCCCATCTCTCTCCCACGTGTCAGCATACAGCAATGGCAGCTGCACTCATGCACAGGAAACCTGCAGTTCAGGGTGCAGGCTGGTGTTTCTGGGCTGCTCAGAGAAACAGGAATTAGTGTCTTTAAAGAGCAGCCCCAGTTGTGCCAGCTGACACAGTGTGTTAGAGGGTGCCATGACACAGTAGTGATTGGGTTTGTGCATCTGAAAGCAAAGGCAAACTCTGGAATGTGCTCTGTGCCTTTGACTTCCTCCCACATCAGCAACAGTCTAGAAGAAGTTTCTGCTTTGAGAGAACTGTTAGCAGACTAGGTAACTTTATTTACTCAGACATTTGAATTTTCTTTTCAAATCTGATGTAACTTAATTCAATGTAACACTCTCTTCAGTGAGTGAACTGTTACTTGGGAATTTTTGCCCCTCTCTGGGAGGGTCTGATTCTCAGTGTCTTTGCTGCTCTGTGCCACATGCTAAGAATAACATGTCTTAGCTTGCCACAAGTTGCTTAGGACCAAACTCCAGTGAGAGTGAGGTACTTCAGTTATTTGCTGCATGTGGAGTGTCCATGGGGAAGCTGAGTACAGGTGTGCTGGTGCACAGCTCATCCCCTACCCCTGTACTCCACTTGGGAAGGAGCTGACACCTGCCCCAGCCCTGCTGCAGTTCTGCTGTTCTGTGCATTCTGCCTTTCGTGTGCAACAGATGTTTGGGGATTTTGCTCCAAGTATCAGCTTACAACTCAATTTCTTTTCCCTCAGAGTTTTTCCTAACTGCAAATTTGCTGATAAGTGCTTGTTCATCCATCCAAACTGTAAATACGATGCCAAGTGCACTAAGCCAGACTGTCCTTACACTCACGCCAGTCGACGAACTCCCCACCCAGCTCCTAAACCAGGTGAGCACGTCTTGCTTTCTGAGCTGCAAAGCAAAGTGCTGAAGGGAAAACAGTATTTGTGGAAACAGAAACTGACAGTAGTGAAAAAATAATTTTTTGCTCGATTTGACCTAATTTTCTTTCAATTCTCAATGCTAGCTGAAGAGTAATAATCCAGTGTTACTGCAAAACCTGTTACCAAAACCATTCCCAAACGCTCTTACGTGAGAGTCTGTATGAAGTCTGCAAGGCCAAAGTGGTGACTTGCACAAGTCATCCCTTCTGAAGGGACTAAGTAGCACGTCAGTTTACTGAAATTTGTTTCTTAGACATGTTTGTACCAAGGGCTTGTGACACAAGCTGAGAACAGGCTCCTGTCTTTGAGCATTCTTTCCTTAACACCACTGTAGGAGTTGATGCAATTACGAGATGACTCCAGGGATGAAGTTACCTGGTGAAGGCAATAGGTGTTTGGACCATGGGTGGGTACTGATGAGCCTTTGCACTGTGCCAAGGTGGAGAGCCTTCACCTCAGCGAGTCATGGTCTTTTGGAAGTGGTTTTTCCTGTAGTCACAGTGTGGTGCAGTTTTGTGACTCTGCCAGAAGGCTGAGTACAGTGTGCTTGTTTCCTGTGCCATTTCCAGCAGCTCCTCTGTATTCCTGGAAAGTGCAGTGCCTCTGCTTTTCAGTCTGGTCAGCTGAAACTTTAACAGGCTTGCTGCTAAATGTAGCATATGAGTCTCTCTGCCTACCAGGATCTCTGCATAATTTGTTGGAAGCTTTGCCTTGACTGTGGTATCTTTTCTGTCCTGAAGTGGTGAAGAGCTGAGTTAAATGATAGTCTTGTTCTACTCCAGGATGAGATCCACTTATTGCATTGGAATGTCCCTATTTCTAGGAGAACTTCGGTGTATTATGAAATGTCATTTCTTGCAGGATTGATGTAGTTAAGGTTGTGTGGAGCTCTTTTAAAAGGCAATTTATTCTGATCCAGGCTCACTACTTCTTCTTTTTGTTTCTAGTAGCACCATTGCCCACACTGTCTATATCTTCCAGTAGTCCACTCTGCAAGTTTTTTCCTGCTTGTAAGAAAATGGAATGTCCATTTTACCATCCAAAAGTAAGATTTATCTCTGTTCTGGTTTGGCCGGGGTAGAGTTAACTTTCCTCACAGTGGCTAGTATGGGGCTGTGTTTAGGATTTGTGCAGAACACAGGGTTGATAATGCAGAGATGTTTTTGTTGTTGCTGAGCAGAGCTCACACAGAGCCAAGGCCTTTGCTGCTTTCCGTACTGCCACACTGGCAAGGAAGTTGGGGTTGCATGGGAGATTGGGAGGAGACACAGCTGGGACAGGTGACCCAAACTGACCAAAGGGATATTCCACACCATAGGACATCATGTTCAGTGTATAAGGTGGGAGGAAGGAGAAAGGGTGGGATATTTGGAGTGATGGTGTTTGTCTGCCCAAGTCACTGTTCTGTGTGCTGGGGCCCTGCTCTCCCTGGGATGGCTGAACAGCTCCTGTCTGTGGGAAGTAGTGAATGAATTCCATGTTTTGCTTTCTTGTGTGCAGTTTTTGTTTTCCCAATTAAACTGTTGTTCAACCCATGAGTTGAAAATATGCTACTTTAGGTTAGGAAATGTCACTAGCATTTCACACTTTTTGCTTTTCACATTTTACATTTCATTTAGGAACAGAATGTGCAAAAGCAATGACTTAAAGAATTTGGAAAATTATATTTTTAAGTAACCTTTCTACCAGATGCTGTGGGGAGCTTCAAACAGGCCACAGCACTTGCCAAACATGTGCCCAGCCAGGATCCTGGGGCAGAGGAGGAGGAGATCTTGTAGCCTGTATGGAAGGAATATGTCTCAAGACTCTTGATTGTTCCTTCAGATGTGCTGCAATATACAAGAACTGTAACTAGTGCCCAGTTACCCTAAAGCATATTAACATAATTTCTGTAGGTCAAGAGCCTGTAACTTGGATCCCTCTATTCTATAGACTTGTGTCCCTGCATCTTCTTACACCTGGCAGTTAGTGCTTTTTCAAGCCCTAACAATGCTGAAATGCTCAAGTGTCCCCAGCACTCTGTGCCCAGGTGTTATTAGCCCAGTGCTCTGGCTTTGCTTCCTCCTCAGATCCTGCTGTGTCCTGCTCCCAGCTTGTACTCACAGATCAATTCAAACTGAACTCTGTAAACCCTGGAAAGCAAAGGAACTTTCACGTGTCTGCAGTGGTAGTTCTGGAGCATCATATTCATAATTGATGGTTTTTAGGAAGGATTTTCTTGTGGTAGGGTTGAACTGATTGCACTGGTGGCTGTAGCTGTTGCTCAGGTAGTTGTCAGATGTGTCACACAAAGTAATTCACTGTGGGTTGTTCAGGAGCTGAGCCACCCAAAGTGGAGTAACCTCTTCTGAAATGCTCTGTTTGCAGCATTGTAGGTTTAATACCCAGTGTACAAGGCCAGACTGCACTTTCTACCATCCCACTGTTGCTGTACCTCCACGCCATGCCTTGAAATGGACTCGAACTCAGACCAGGTGAGGCACTAAACCTAGCCAAGGAAAATAGAAAGTTTGTTGTGACTCCTGTCACTACTGTAGTTTTATACTGTGACTCCAGTCACTACTGTAGTTTTACTCGCAGGAGTAATGTGTGTGATGAACAACAAAGATTGTGTGAAGAAAGATACCTCTTACAGGCAGCTTTCTTTGAAAGAACTCTGTACTGTTTGGTTTTAGTACAAACATTCACCAGTGTGGTGCAACCCTGATAAACAGCTGGGATAGGGCAGGCACTGGAATCCTGACCTGGACATGTTGTGTTTCCTCAGTTTTATTTGAATAATGCTGGAAATCCAACATCAGCTCTTCTTCACTGTTGTTTTATCTTGTGCCCTAGCTATCTTTTCCACAAAAAGGGTTAGGTTCTTTCTTTGGGTGTTCCTGGCAGAGCAGGTCCTTCCTGTCATCTGTCCATGATTTCATAAACCAGTAGAAAACTTTCCAAAGCTGCAGCTATTGGCCTGTCCTAAAGATCATCAAATTACATGAGCTTTCACTCAAAACTAATCTCATCTGCAAAGGTCTTAACCATTGCAGGAGTAGGGGACAGAGCAATTCTCAAATCATCTTTAAGAGGGGTAGGATTGTTACTTACAGGAATTGTTTTCTCTTCCCCTTCAGTGAATGAACATGATATGACCTGGAACTGAGCTTTGCCTCCTCTGGACAGCAGCAGAAGGGAAGATTAAGCACCAGAGCACAGGATGTTAGACAAGATTCATGCATTTGGGACTTTGAATATACATTGTTTTCATAAAACAAGGGTGATTGCATACTTGAAATGTCTCTAATTTTCCAAGTTTGTAAGTTTGGGCAATTTTACATTTTTTTTACACTGTAAGAAGAAAATGTCTGTGTAAGAAAAGGTTTACTTTAAATTCCATTAAAAACGTTCAAAGCACATTTTGTGTCCTGCCTGGGCAGTGTTCCTGGCTTAAGGTCAGGTGTGGTGAGTAGTGTGGCAGCAGAAGGGCTAAGGGGGATTATTCCTCATGTGTTTGGATCGTACTGAAGTGTTTTTTGTCCAAGTGTTTGGTGCAATGCACAGAACTTGAGCTGCTACCCCAGCTCCCAGGGACAGAAAGCTCCACCCCAGCACAGGGAGAAGGCAAATGCTTTGTCTTGGGGCATTGTTTCAGCACAGTTGTCACACTGCTCCTGTGCTCTCAAATGGGGAAAAACAGAGCCAAGGGAGACAAACCATTTCATAAGCAGAACAATTAACGCATCGTTGATCTGATGCTCCATTATAAAGTCCTGTGGAATGCCACAGCACCTGAAAAAAAATCAGTGCTCTCAGCTGTCTCCATTTTTACCAGGAAGAGAGAGTAACTCTCCCAGTCTCACTCTGCAGAATGCCTGTCTCCTACTGGGCACACTGCTTTTCTCCTTCAGAAAAGTTCCTGTTTCTCCTACTGGGCACACTGTGCTTTTCTCCTTCAGAAAAGTTCCTGTGACTTACATGGCAAAAAAATTCCTCCACAGCATTGTCCATAACCATGTCTAAGTGTTATTACAATAATGAAAAGTATTGAGCAGTAACATAAATGCAGTTTTTTATTAAATCTTTCGTATCTTTTGGGGAACTACATTTTCACAAAAATATACAAAAGAATTTCTTTTTACAAATATTTACATTCAATATCAGAAAACAATGTTAGCTACATCTTTTAAACTGAAATTTGACAAATATAGTCTTGAATTCTGAAACTTAACACTCAGGAAAGTCTTTTTTATTTTGTATTTTTTAAATAAAGTACTCAAAGTTCATATTCAAATTTAAAAAAATCTTAATAATGCAAAAATCTGACATTTATATATATATTTATATATACTTTAAATAAACATACAACATTGTCACAGGAGTTAGATGTTCATGGTGGAAACCAAAATGGAATACACTTAAACCCATGATCCTTATTACAGTAATACATGACCAGACCTTTGGACTAGTTTAAAATACCATTTTTTTTCTTTTTTTTTGTTTCTGTTAAAGCAAGAGGGATTATCTGACACACTCCATAATGAAACAACAAATCTCAACAGACAACTGGATTTTAAGCTTTAAGAACTACAGTAAAATACTTTCCTAAGGTGACCTGACAGGGGAGTGGAGGAGGAGGGTGTGCTCTGGTGTCCAGGGCACAGCTGGAATGGGTTTCCAGATGAGAGACTGCAAATGACATTATTTTTTCTACAGAATTCCCCAGTGCCTTCATTAGCTTAGTCCCTTGCAGAAATAGCTGCCACCGTGGGGCTGTTTGCCATGCTGTGAGGTGAGGAGACAAGGAGAGAAGGGCAGCAGAGCAGCATCACCTCCACTGCTGCATCCCAACTGCTGTGCTGGGTGACAGTGCTAAGCATGGAAAAATCCCAAACTGCTGCTTTCTGCTAAAGAACAGTGAGCAAACCGAGCCACAAAGCTCAATGTGTGCTTTAAGGGAATGGTTCCAATGCATTTACTTAGCTCTGTAATTTTAAGGGACTGTGGTCTAGCGTGTGTCCTTAGTGAAGTTTTGCAGTAAAAAGCATTGACTTCACAAATCAGTACTGCAGCTTTTCCATTACTTAACATAATGTTGTGTACCCATAACTGAACTAAAAAGCAGAAATTTAGCTTATAATTGCCAGATATTGCTCTAAAAAACCCAAACCAAATAAGCTATTTCGCACCTGAAACCACAACACCATGGGAACTAGTAGCAAGAAAAGGAAAAAGGACCAGAAATGTGTGAAGTACTAACAGCACCAACGTTTCACAAAAACCGGTTTTACTTCATGCAATTTGTGTCTGTGTTCATGCCAGGAGTTTATTTACCAGATTCCCAAGGAATACAATGTAGAGCGCGTTCTGAGTGTGACTGGTAGTACCACTTAGAGCTCAATAGCATGGACAGATCTCTCCCTCCTCCCCAGTCACAGGAATCTGCAACTAAGTTCATAGAAAATTCATTTTCAGCAACATAATGTTTGGTATTGGCTTTGTATTACAGATCACTACAGTAACAGCAAAGCTGTGGTTAAAGTTGGCCAATCTCTCTCAGCCACCACATTGGATAAAACATTTCTTTGGTGGCTGGGAGGGGAGCTGGGGTAAGGGCTCCTGTGGGAAGAAGAAAGAGCAGTAATAGCCAAAGCTAATGAATGAATAATTGGAGGATATTATAGGAACATTTTCTCTGTTTTCCCCAAAGGTTTATAGTCCTGCAGTGGACTGAAACTAAAATATCCCTTGACTACAGCCCTTTTTCAGACCCCACCAATGCAACACTTGTTTCAATAATCCACAGTTCACCCTAAGCCCTTGTATCTCACCTCAGCCCTGCCGAGAGCAGCTCGAAGGCAGCACCAGCCCTATGAAGGCTGCAGCATCATGCACATGGGGCACTGGCACTTGTCCCCACCAAAACTGATCAACACAACTGATGTTCATCCTCTAGCTCAAAACACCTGTTCCATGGGGGCTGCTGAGTAGTAGTATAGTGGATACAAGCCACTGTCTGATGAATGCAGCACAGTGTGAATCACACACACCTTTACACCACTGCAACAAACATGGCAGTAACTGAGGGGATAGCTTTAAAAAACAAAAAGCACAGGAGGTTTGTTGGGTTTGGTTTGGTTTTTGTTTGTTTTTTTCAATAAGCTCTCACATGACATCTGTGCCTGAACTGAGGCAGATAGATACCTACTGCTAAGGGCAAAATCACTTTGTAGGGGTTTGGAGTTATCCCACAAACAGCAACAAACTTAGGAAACACATATTTTGGCTTATGGAAGAGAAATCCAAACACACCAAGCGATAGGAACATCCTGCCTCAAGTCCCAGGCTCTACTGCCCTCCAGCACATGGAGAAGGATCAGTCCAGCACAGATTTTGTGTTTCTTACAAAGAGTTGCTACAGGTGAAAGTCCATTTCACTTCCCTAAACAGCACCTGAAAGGAGTTTGGGTTGCTTTTTACATAAAGCTTTCCTCAACTCAATTATTTATTTTGTAATGGTTCACTACGGGATAAAACCAAGAACTTTACTGATTTGTTTCTACTCAGATGTATTCATAGGCCTACATTCCATTCACCTGACCTCCTGGAGGCCCATGGCAAGGAACACCAAAGGAAAATTCAACTCATGTACAATCTGAATTGCTCTCTGCAGACACTGCCACACCTCGAGTCAAAAGTAACAGAGCCCAAGTTTTAACGTGTCATCTCACATGTTGTGAACGTCTGGGAACAGAACCAAGAACTGGTGAATAATGTTTCAATAGCAAAGAAACGAGGCAGTAACTTTCACAGCTTGGTTATGAAGGGTTTTCTGAAGCACAGTATTTCTTTGGTTTAATATCTCTTGTTTAAAGAACATATTTCAGAAGAGGCCTATTAAAACAAGCCACCTTTGGTTTAGGTGGGAAGCTGAGTAGGATTTTCAAATACATCCTTAAACTCTTTTGCCTGAGCTCTCAATACTACAGAGCATTTCTGTCTTTGCAGTACTTTCTTTGTTCCAACCTGCATTAGCTGCTGCTCCTCAGCACTGGACAGGTGTCCCAAGGTATGGGAGTGCAGACAGCAATGAATGGAGTGGCTGCATTGTCCCAAAAACAGAGCAACCAAAGTTGCCTGCAGCCTTTCCTTGATCCCCCTGCTGCTCTCCAGTCCTTATACCTCCCAAGCAGCCTCTGAGTATTTCCCATTTGAGACAAGCACTTTGTTACTCACCACCACCCATGTCAGTTCTTTGGTCTTGCCTTTGCCTATTTCTGAGTGCTCCTCCCTCTGGTTTTCTTTCTTTCACCTTTTCTCCATGTTTATGTTTATTGGTTTCCTGTTACTGTTTCCTCCACCCTATGTTCTGTAATTCCAAAAAGAAGCAGAAATTATAAGGATTATTGAAATTACAAGGATTGCCTATTGTCACCATGCTCAGACCTCACACTTTTTGTTGTTGTTTTGGTTTAGGTGGAGTGGGTGGTGGTGAGACACATTCCACGCTTTATTTTTTTGCCTCTTTCTTACCAAAGAAGTAGTGAATTGCTTGGATTGCTGGTTTCATAGTCAACAAAAAAACAGATAAAGGTTATGACTGGTACACTGTTAGTAAACTGAGACAGGGATGATTAGCAGTTCTAGCATCAAGTAGACTGGAGAAAACCCACCTAGTACTTCTTAGTTACAAATGATTTTGGCAAGGAAACCTATTGTGGATTTTATGCATATTAAACTCATAAAACTATTCTTTTCTTTAAATCTAAAGTGAAATATGCAGAGTTCAAGTCTGAAGTCAAAGCTAATTGAGAGCAGAAGCTGAAGACAACGAAATAAATGGGCTTGGTCTAACCACCCCACAGTGACTGGTACAAAGAATGCAGAGCAGGTTTGGCAAGCACATGGATCCATCCATATAAGCAAAAAATCACATGGTGCTAAAAACTTCAGGAAAACAGAGCAGACTGCAAGGTAGCACATAAAACCTGATGAGAACATAAAAACATGCAAATCCAATACAGCTAGGGATGTTTACATCACTGATGTGGCAACTTCTTTTGTGATTTACTTCCCTTTCTGTAGAGTCTACAGGTTGCTCCACTTTGTCCAAAGCACTGACAAGACAACATCTGTCTATAGCTTATGACAACAGCATAGAAAATAAATCTTTAAGGCTTGTCACATCTATGACACTGATAATGACATAGCCTTGCCCATTTAAGAACTGTATTTGAAGCCAAGATCTTTTGCTTGTCACACTACTGCACCATGCACAACAAATCCAACACAGGCCCCCAGTGTACAGGTCTGGAGGGAAACCCACACATGTGGAGCCTCCAGCCCTGCTGGTGCAGCCCAGAGAGCAGGGGAGGTGCTGCTCAGGATGGTGCTGCTCAGGGAGGTGCTCAGGGCTG